CCAAAAACTGTTGATTTGGTCAGTAAACCGTTGATCCGGATGGTTGAACCGTTCAAATCGTCCAATGGTTTTGGCGATTTTTATTTTATTTTTTTAACTTTTTTTATCAAAACAGGTCGTCTATTCAGTTCAAACAGTTGGACCATTCAACCCGGAAATTGGATCCCTAACTGGTTCCTTGTCCAATTCAGTTTTAAAAACCTTGATATTGCTTGTTATTTTATTTGCCAGTGTGTTCTTTCATCCTAGATCTCATACACCTAATTTTAGATCATGGGCCTAATCCAACATCTCATTTTTTTCATTCATTTCAGAAATATACTAAGATTTATACTGATTTTAATTACTCAATTGACTATAAGAATGTTTAATATGTAAGAAAATTTGCATTTGGCCTACAATAGACATAATATGTGTTTCTAATCTTATTAAGTGCTTTACAATGCTACGATAATGCTAAAAACTTATTTTGGGTGCTATTTATTTTGTTCTAAATTGCCAATGGATAAGTTCTAGGATTTGTGCTTTTAAAGCCCAAATGCAATTTTGGGGCTTGTAAGTTTTCTAAACTTCAGATGGTTAATTATCTTTAAAAGCAATTGGTACCAAACATACAAAACACTTTTTTGGCTCATTTTTGTCTCCCAAACCACAAATCTCAAAAGCAAAAATTCATCCAAAATTTTATCCACTATATCTTTTCTCATATAACTTATATTTTACAACTTACTGATATAATCTTGTTTAGGATTTTTTTGTTGCAAACCTCATTTGCACACATAAAGACAAATAAATTCCAAAGTCATTCAAGGAAGAGGCAATAATGCAGCATAACTGATCAGCTTATAACCACATGAGTTGTCCATGTATGATCATGAGAGCATCCCATTATTTTCCAACTCTAGTAACTCCCAGTCTCCCAGACCCACCTCATGTATTGTCAATGAAGCCCACCTAACACTAGGCCCCACTCTCAAGCAGGTTCCTACCAGAAAAAATAAAAAGTAATTAAAAAGAACTCAAACAGGTTAGGTGGTTGCATGAGAGCTCTTGCCAAATGGCTTGGTTTGTACAAACCCCTAGGCCCTAGTATCATTTCTTTCTATTTACATTTTTTTATTTTGTTTATATTATGTTCAAAAGTTTCTTCTTTGGGTGGATAGATCTAACATGTAAGTACACATGGGGATCAAAATTAAATGGAAGCTTACTAAAAATTTCTGCCTTAAAAATTAGTATGATCAACTTTGATTTGTCATTATATGTAGAGCTTCTTTCAGTTTCAATATAAAATTTTCCTCACCATTCAAATTAAGTCTACAAAGCTATGAGGACGCTAAACTGCAGCTATGGAGGTGCCATTTCACACTCTAGAAATCACCTTAAGCTTTACCAGCCTTCTGTTTGAGGATTTGGTTAGTTAAGAATTTAAAGGCCATTGCCCCTTATTTGCCCTCGTTCTTTATGGTCTTGGGGGAGTAGATTGGACATTGTCTTAACCTTTGTCATTTTTCGCATAAAATGGTAACTTTCAGACTCAAATCCATGTTTTCGGACTCTGAATCTCCTACCCACAAAACATTATTTTCGTGCATTGAGAACATCTCCCTATGCCTAATAACATGTAAGAGGATGATATGTTTCCCATTTGTGACTGCGATGTTATGTGGGTAGATGTAGGTAGAATTGTCATGGGTAAGAAATCCATACTCAAGTTTTTACACATGTAAGAGGATGAGATGTTCCCTATGTCAATCAATCTAGTCCTGCCTTCACCCGGGTTGAGGGAAGGCATCTGTTATATAGCCCATTTGCCTATCAGAAAAAGAAAGAAGAAATATGACGTTTGGTATTCCTGATAGAAGTTTGGCTTTAAGATAGTTCAACCTAAAGAGGTTTTCTAAAAGTCTGGTTAAAGAATTAGGGCCCGTTTGGTGCATCTTTCCATGCGGTCTTTCGGCTGTTTACAAGCCGGGAGGACCGACTTTCGGTCTATTCCCATTTGGCTCGTGGAAGATCTAACTGCCAAAAGACGGAGTGCCAAAAAGACGTGAAAAGCCCATTTCGGGCTGATTTCGGGAAGCTTCAAATGAAGCTTCTCGTATCTTTCGTGTTTTAATCTTGTGCGAAAGACGTGAAAAAAACGCACTGAAAGATTTATGTCTGCCAAACGTGCTTTGGGCTATTCAGATCTTCATACAAAAGTTCAATGCGTCTTTTGCATGTCAAAGCTACTAAAAAATCTTCCCAGAAAGACACGCCAAATGGGCCCTTATTCTTCAAGGGTATCCAATCTTTTTCATCTTTACCACCCAATACCTAGAATTTGACCAATGCAAGAGATACAGTGCAATATGAATGAGTATTAGGGAACTCTACCTAGGTATAGTGCATCCTTCTAAAATCCGATATTTTTTTGGCCCATGTAGGCTGAAACATGTCTATATTATTTTAAACCTTGAATTGAAGCACAAGTGACAAATGTGCTTCTTAGACAAAAAGTTTAATTTCATATATATGTTTATTCATGTGGGAGAAGAGACAACCCGAAATGGGTCATATGTACATTCATGTCACCCTCCCCCACTGTGACAAATTTTACCCTCCAAATCTCCAATCAAGGTTCAAAGTATTCATGCATTTCTGCGCATCAGCAGAGGTATTGATATTTATTCGATACTTGTTTTTTGTTTTTATTTTTCATTTTCAAATTTTATTAATTTTATATGTAGATAGATATATTGAGTCTCAAAGATATGATACGATACACCCTATATCAGATTAATATATCCTATCAGTACTTTGAACCTTACCTATCATGGTTCAAAGCATTCCATATGCATGATAAAGGAAAAATCAGTATAAAGCGATTATAGGGTGTTCGAGGATGTAAATGATTTAATTTGTTTTCTAAAATATCAATAATTACAACTTCAAAAAAAAAAATTGTATTGTTTTTGCTGACATAACAACTGTGTTTTTGCTTTAAACCTTGTCAAACACCCCTAATCATGGTTCAAAGTATCCATATGCATGATACAGAAAAATCAGTATCAAGCAACAAATGATGTGAATGGTTTGATTTTCTAAATAAAAACAACTGCCACATCAGCAAATTTGTATTGTTTTTGCTGACATGTCAGGCATTTGGTTTAACGAAACAAAACCATTCACATTGTTCAATCATTAATTTACATTTACTACTATATAAACTTGACAGATGTCTTTAATTCCTAGTATTTAGTGCATCATTCGGTTCAAAATCAAGGAATACAATACATTGTGAGACTTTGAACCTTGAGTTCAATTAAAAAAATGAAAATAAAAAAAATTTAAAAGTAAATATTAAAAAAATTAGTGAAACTATATAAATAAATAATGAATGCTATGATAATAAAGAAATTAGGAAACTCAAAGAGGTTGGAGACTCAATCACCCAAACAACAGCTATTGATCTTGAAGATTTCAAATCTTGTGTATACAAGATCTGGCATATATCATCCTCGGCCAAATTGAATAATAATGAAATTAGATACTAAATAACCCATGGAGGGTAGAAGGTAAAGCCCATTTTCCCAAAACACCTGGTCGAAAAGCGCAGTTAAGATAATTCAGGTGCCACTATACATAATGTTTAAACAGATAATTACGAGTCTGGATCTCCTGCCCACGTCTACTCACATACATCATAGTCATACATGAGGAATATTTCATTCTTCTACATAGTATTATGCACAGGGAGATGTTCCCAATGTACAAAGCTAGTGTGTTGTGGGTAGACATGGACAGAGTTCTTGTGGGCAGGAGATCCAGAGTCAAACTATGATTCCATTGATTGATGTCACCACAAGAATATGCAAAGGAAAAAAAGAACCATAAATCCATTAAATAAAAACAAAGAAAATGAAAGGAAAGCTTAAGGCCATGTTTGGTTTGAAAGTAAAGGTAGGGAAGGAGGGGAAAAAATAGGGAAACTTGTATAAGGTTTGTACTTTGTACAGGTTTTCCTACCTTAATTTGTTTCAAACCAAACACAACTAATGAGAGAGATTTCTCATAAATCAGAGAAATTGTTTGTTTGGTACCATTGATGCCATATCAGCCAATTTCTGAGAAATCAACAATATTGACTTTGTTTGCTAGTATCTCCCTTATCCACATCAGATGCCATGTCATCTAAGAAATGACTATAATTTATCTACAAACTCATATATAGAATTTAGTAAAATACATATAATAAAATCTCCCTTGTTTTAGTTGAGAACCTTGCTCATGAAACATAGAGATGAGATAAAGCAAGGAACTGATCATAGCAAAGCCATGTTTGGCTGGACACAAAATAACAGAGAAACAGAAACTTGATGGTAAGTTGTTAAGGAAATTTGTAAAATTCCTTCAGAACTTTCACTCAACTCTTGTTTCTCTCTTATTTTCTGTCAAACCAAAAGGGTACCTTTGATGCTGCCCACCATGTCAACTCTATACCTGGTGGAAAATTCCTACTGATGAGGTAGGTTTAAAGTAACAGCTGCAAGCAGAAACCGTTTGGCCTCAAGCAAATAAAAGATAAAATTTGCAAAGGTAAGACCCATGTAAAACAAACTCTGCCTTCTTTTTTTTTTCATTTTTCCTTTTAACAAGGGGTTATTAGGAGTGGGAGAGGTTATATTCTTCCTCTGTACTTATTTATGCATAGTTTAATAAACAAACAAAAATAATAAATGGGTTTTGTTGTTGTGTGGTCTGTGGTGGCCTATTTGCCTCTCCTTTCACAAAAAAGGTTCTCTACTGCTAGCAAGACTTTTTGTCCATGCAAGTCCAAACTCAAGCAAGGAATCCAGTTTTGCAAATTGACAAAAGAATTCCAAAACAGTAAGAAAGCACGCTCCTTGACTTTCAGAGGCTATCGTGTGTGTCAGGTAGTGTATAAAATAGTAAAAAGTTTTTTTTTGCCACCAAAACAGTTGTATTGCTAAGGAGCATGAAGGATTATAGTCCATTATGGTCTAGATTTGGGTTGACCATGGCTGAACTCTTGATGGGTGTGAGTCAGATGGACCACTTGTAGGTTCTAAAGATGTGAAATGCATTGCCTATGATGCTGCTTGGGAGCATCATGTACCCTCACTTGATTTTAGAGACCAGATTGCAAAATTAGTTTCATATTTCTTCAGCATCTTCTCTCTCTCTCTCTCTCTCTGTTGTACACACAGTGATTTTTCAGGTGAGTTGAATTTGAATCAGCAATGCATGAGCTCTGCGATCTGAGAATCCTTGTAAATGGGCAACACACATTCCTTCTAAATGAGGTAATCTGAGCTTCCATTAACAGTCTTGTTAGTTGTTTCTTTCCAACCTCTGCTATTATTTGCTTTGTTTTTCCTTCATTGGTAGTAATTTTAAATGCTTTCTTCTTCTTTCATTATATTTGCAGAAGACTATCTCAACATTCTCGGGGAGATTGAGGAAGATAATAAAGCAAGAGAAGAGAAAAACCCAGATCAGAAACTCAGGAATTGAAATCGATGATTTCCCGGGAGGCCCAGATGGGTTTGAGCTGGTTTCAAGATTCTGCTATAACGAAGGCAGAATCCCTATAACGCCATCAAATGTCTCCCTCCTCTATTGCTCTGCAGCCTTTCTTGAGATGACAGAGAAGGTCTCAAGCTGCAATCTCCTGCAACAGACAGAAACCTTTCTTGAAGGGATGTTCTACTGGTCTTGGAATGATATATTGATCTGTCTCAAGAGCTGTGAATCATTCTTCTTGGCTGCCGATTCATCTGGTCTTCTTCAAAAGCTCGTCTGTTCACTTCTGGCAAAGATTGCCCAGAATTCAGACACAATACTCAATGCTTCTTCCCCTTCTTCTTCCTCATCTCCTGAAACAACATCTGGGTTTAGATTCTCTTCATCTGCCAAGACCACACCAGAATCCATGAAGCCATGTTCTTCTGCAGGTAAGGCATGGTGGTTCGATGATTTGACCATTTTACCCCCCAAGATCATTGAAAAGGTCGTCAAGACGATGGGTGCTTATGGAACGGAGAACAACAGCCTAATCCTCACCAAATTCCTCCTCCACTACCTCAAAGCTTCTGTTCAGAGAAAAGGTGGTATTTGGTCCAAGTTTGACTGTGGTGGACTTGCAGATACAGCAGTACATGGAGTAGTTTTGATGGGAAAAACCGCTTTTTCTTGCAGAGGGCTGTTTTCAGTACTGAGAGTGGTTTCTGGTTTGGGTCTGAGCAGAGAATACAGAGCTAGGTTGGAGAGACTGATTGGTGGGATGCTTGATCAGGCAACATTAGATGATTTGCTCATTTGTGGACATGATGGGGGTGTTTACGATGTGAATCTGGTCTTAAGATTGGTCAGGGTGTTTGTTAACGATGACGGATTGACGACACAGAAATTAAAAAAGGTTGGGAGATTGATTGATAAATACATGGGAGAGATCTCTCCTGATCAGAATCTCAAGATTTCAAAGTTTCTTGCAGTTGCAGAGAGCTTGCCTGACTCTGCTAGAGATTGCTTTGATGGTGTATACAGAGCTATTGACATCTATCTTGAGGTAAATATCACAATTGAGAATTTTCTAGTTCTCAAGGACTTTCCCCTATTTTTTATTAAATCTTCCTCAATTCTTCACTCAAGTAAGTTTTTTTTTTCTTCTTCTGTCCACAAAAACTGTTTTTACTTCTACTTTTTTTTTATATTCAATTTCCTCTTGATTTCTTGCGGTAAATGACTTATTTTTTCTATTCTTCTCTAATTTTTTAGCCCATTTTAGAATTTGTGTAATTTAATGCTGGTATGTAATGACTATATATAATTGGTTGGTGGTGGTTAAATTCCGTTTCCTTGATGCTACAATTCAGTTATAGTAAATTCATTATTCCAAAATTACCCCCTACACTTCTAAGGCTGCATTCGGACTTCATTTTGACATAAACAGCTTCTAAAAAAGACACTTCTGAGTTTTGAAACGGGCTTTATGAAAAATCACTGTTTTGGTGTTTGTCTCATCACCAACCAGCTTTTTCTGTTCAAAATAGAAGTTAGATTAAGTTTTTGTTTTTTCCCTGCTTTTTTCGAATAGGCTTTTCTGATGTAAAAACTAAAAAGCCCATTTCAAGCTTTTTTTCACCGGACAATTTTTTGAGTGGCTTTTGGCTTTCCCAAGATAAAAAAAAAAAAAAGGTCCATTGAAGATAATTTGGTTTAGCTGAATGTGATGGCTCTTCAGCTGGCTGTGCAATCAATGATAATATTTCATGTTTGTGATAAATTCATATTTTCATAGGTCCCATTAGGGGTTTGCATCTGCCACCCACTAGTTATCCCCACATCCCTACCCACCTAACATAACAGTTAGGTATTGGGAATATCTCACTTTTCATTTATAGGGAGATGGTTCATGGGTATAGATGTGAGAACAACTAGTGGGTAACAGATTAGGAGGCCCCACTCAGAGGTGTGGGTCTCGTGTATTTTCTTAGTAGCATGGAAAAGTGTCAACACTTTTATAACTTTTTTTTAGCTTTCTTAGTAGCATGAAACACCCCTTATTTAAGGTATCCAAAGTATCGTATCGAAATTTTGAAATTCAATTCAATTAATCCCAATTTGGTTATTTAATTAAGTGAATCAAATCCTGATTATAACTGTAATAAGGGGTAATCTGTGCAGTCACATCCCACACTTTCTTTTGAGGAACGGTCAAGGCTATGTAGATGTCTGAAATACGAGAAGCTAACGCTGGAAGCCTGTAAAGACCTAGCGAAGAACCCTAGAATTCCTCCGAGGGTTGCTGTGCAAGCGCTCGTCTCTCAGCAATCCAAGGTACAGCAGAGCAATGATGTTGTCCCGGACAGTCCGAGCCCAAGTGAGACGCAGTTGGTTTTGTACAACGAATCGGATACCGAAAAGTTTTCAGGGTTTTCCGAAGAGAAGGAAGATATGAAGATGAATTTACAGAGGATGCAATGGAGGGTGGTTGAATTGGAAAAGGTGTGTAGAGAGATGAAAGGTCAGATGACAAAGATTGTGAAAAATAAAGTCATCAATGCCCCTGCTCACAATAGAGCATTACCTAGACTATGTTGAATCTTCCTCTCTCTCTCTCTCTCCCTCTCCCTCTCCCTCTCCCTCAAAGAGTATATGTGTTCAATTGTAAAACATTGTATTTTTGTGATTTTTGAGATAAAGGGTAATTTTGAAATTTTGTGTTTTTTTCTTTTTTTTTTCCTATTGAAGCATTTAATCCAGGGGAAGGAGTGTATGGTGGGTAGGAAACAGTGGGGATAGGATGGATTTATTTAGTGAGTTTGGGCCACAAGTACACTTAAAACCCAGAATTTTTTAAAGGGTTTATGTAAAATTCCCAACTCATTTTTCTAGGAATCTCTTAAATTTATCCTCACTTTTCCATACTTCCAAAAGACAGAAACCCCCTGTAAGACATATTTTATCTGTTTTAGTGATCATGATAGAAGTGGTTCACAAGCACCATTAGTATTAACTAATGATAAAATTAACCTTTGAGTCCTTGACCAACCTATCAATCTTATTCTATAAATTTTCTATTATAGAAAAACCCATTTGGGAGGGCTTAGCTGAACATTCAACTAAGTTGGTTAAGCTTAAAAAAAAGACGAATGGGACGCCGGATCGGGGCTCTCCGATAAGTCATCCGGGCTCGTGAACAATACCGATAAGGTCTATGGGAAGAATTGGGATTTTCACACAAAATTGGTCTTTACACTTACCTCACAGTCCTTACAGCTGTACATCAAGAACATTTCTACACTTGTATGTTTTTATTCATAGGAGATGTTCTCCATAAACAACTGGTGTGAGATGGGTGTGAGGACCAATTTTGTGAGGATGGGAGATGTTATTAATTGGAAATCCAATTTCCAACGATGGAAGTGGTTGATTCAAGATCGGATTCAGTCCTAACAAAAATTGTCCTCGCAACACTTACAGCTGTGTATTTGAAACAAATTTTGCCATCCATGCAAAGATGTTTCCAATGCATAGCTATAAGTGTTGTGAGGACAGGACAAATTTTGTCAAGATTGAATCCCGATTTGGTTAATTCTCAGTTCTCCCTAAATGGAAGGACAAGGTTAGTACCCGAACTTTCAAATATGTCATTGTAGTACCTAAACTTTCAAAAAGTGTCAAACTGGTCCTGTTAATCGATCGTCAGTTATCTCTTGAAAATGTCAAAACTACCATTCAAAAAAGATACTGTTCATTGTCTTCTACCTAGAGACCGAACTGGTTTATCTCCAAAGATAAAGAGAGAAAAAACATGAAATATGATAGAGGAAAACAATAAATGAAAACAAAAAAAAACCATAAGAATGTATTCCAAATCTAAAGTTCAAAGGCAATGACTTCATTAATCTAGAATCTCAAACAATTTAACCGATTCAGTCTCAATCTCAAGATAAAAAACAATAAACAGTATCTTCTTTTGAAGGATAATTTTATCATTAACTTGAGAAGATGAAGAATGTTATATAGGTTCAAACCCTCACAGGCTTAGAGTTCAGATTCACGCGCGCCCACAGAGCACGTCAGCACATTCCAACCGTGTCTTGGGAACATCTCCCCATGAGAGATGCAGGAGATGTTCCCAATGCACGCTGAAAAGTGCAATCCCAGGAGTACAGCCTGCAGCGCACGAGAAGATGATAACAGAAAGGAAGCTAACGTGGCAATCCTAAGTCCCAACTGGCTTAACCAGGCATGCATAGCTGGCAACTTCCCAGTTGAGATCCTCTGTGACCGACAGATTGAGAGGTCAGTTGGGCAATGATGAGAGTTTTCTAGTAAATACAGCAGTAAATAACGGATGTCTTGATTGGCTGCAATGGATTCCTTCTAGTACGGATCAGGAGAAAGGATGATTTGAACTAGGAATTTCCCAAACAGTTCAGTAGGAAATTCACCGTTACAGTGGTTTTGCAACCACCAGAAAGACTGGGACCCAGTCCGTGTGTCCTGGACCCTGGTCAACAAGGGTTGAATTGGTTGGTCTCAATTCTCTAGACCCTTCAGCCTTGGGAAATGAATATTAAAGATGGGTTTGGATCTTTACACCTTGTATTGGTATCTATCTGGTATTTGATATTTCATGTGAGTACTGTTAAAATAAAAATATAGATATAGATATGTTTTGGAAATACATGGATATAGACAAAAGATATATAATTAATTGAGTGGTTTAGAATATAGACTGAGCTGGTTTAAATTGGGTGGTCCTAAAATAGATGCGATTTCGAGCCCCACTAATTGCTCCCACCACTATTTGGAGAAAAGTTATTTGATATGTATGAATAAAGTTTTGTACTGTGCCAAAATTATATACAGTCCCTGTGGGGGCACAAAGGCGAATGATTCAATGCAAAAAAAAAAAAACAAAAAGGACAAAAGATGTATATAAATGCTTGGATACACTAAGGAAATGCATATAAATTATATAAATACATTAATAGCATTAAATCTAAAGTTGAATTATCTATGAAAAATGTATAAACATATGATAAATGCACACTTTAATAGATTATTTGAAGAGAAACATCAGCAATTCTCAGACTCTAAACCATGCCCACGCCATACAATAATTATCACTCTATTTCAACTTTTATAACTACAATTTTCAATTTTTGGAAAATTTTACATGTTTAGTATTTTTATATAAATAAAAACTATATTCAAATAATAAACATGTTTTCATTTTTAACATATAACTGTTTTATTTTACATATAATTGTAAATTAAAATATATAAATCATTTAAGGTTGATAAAATAAATTATTTTTTACAATTTTTGTTTTTTATTAAACTTTTTGTGAAAATTAAATCTTGAATTATGTATTTTTAACATATAACTGTTTTATTAATTTTTTTGGGAAAAATAAATTTTCTGGTGCAAGATATTGTAGGGCATTTAATGCTTGGAGTTCAGATGGATGGACTATTGTCTTTTAGTATTTAGGTATTGCTTCTCTTGAAATAGAAAACCTGACCTCCGATTTGTTTTCTAATTGGATGTGAATGAATGTAATTCTGGTCTCAAGTTTTGAGGTCTTGCCTATGTTAAATTTCTGTTTCTTTTAGACATTTAAGGGAGTTGTTCTATACTTCTATGTACATCCTGCAGATTGCATATGCTTGCCATTTGCAGAATTGATGTATGAAGAGAGTCAGCCATCTTTGCTAGGGAAGAGTGGAAGCTTTCTTTTATCCTACTTAGGATGATTAGTTCATTATTAAGGCTGTAAAGGTTAATTTCCTACCTTATTCTTTGAATTTACTACTTTTTTGGTTTAAAAAGGTTAAATATTTTGTTTGGAATAATGTTGAATTGATCAAGGTTTCTCAATTCTCATTTGATTAGTAATAAATCCTGGGTGGATTTCTAGGGATTAAGCTAGGACATTTGTGTAGGTCTTATTTTCCCTTGTTTGCAAGCTTTGCCATGCTAAATAATTTAATCCTTTTTGCATAGGGTTTATGAGGTGTGTATTTTCTTCTTGAACAAAACAAATGTTTTGTTTTCAAATATTGTTTTGTTGATATTGGGGGTTTTGATTTATTACATATTTGTTTGTTATTAGTTTCTTATTTTGGTATTTGGTTTGCTTAATATAATGGGTTTGTAGGTCCATTTTTTTCTTGGTTGTGATTCAGTGATGGAAGTTGAAGATTAAGAGTTGTAGAGTTGAGGGTTGTGCTTAGTTGCAAAATTCTTGACATTGTCTTTTTTTTTTTTTGCTTTCTTTAAGAAAGAATCTGGGTTTGATGTTTTCTTCAGCCTTCCTTTTCTATTGTTAGTACGGATTAACTACATATGCTATTCAAGAATGCGAAGGTTAGTGGGCTCTCCATATAGACAGTGATTTTCTTCTTCTTCTTTTTGGAAATTTAGGCCATGTTTGTTTCAATTCTCGTTCTTTCTCATTCTTATCTAAGATAAAATTCTAAACTCAACAAGAATGGGTTAAAATGAACAGAATCAGAAAATATTGTTATGAATCAAACACTTTTTTCCTAAAAATGATTCTTTTTAAGAATGACAAGTGCCCTATGTCCTATGATGCTCATTTTCATTCTACAAAAAAAAACTCAATGTCAGTGGTCATTAATTGTCAGCCTAGGTCTCCAAAACTGTCAGTATAAATGTTTATCGGTGGATGGCCAATGTTCAGTTCAGTGTCCATCGGCATAAGTTTCCATGACAGTCCACCATTAAACATCTATGGCAAAAATTTTGTAGACCTAGGCCGGCAATTTACGACCACCGGCATAGAGTTTCTCTAATGAATGAAAATGAACAAGATCAGACATGATTATTTTTCATGCTACTGGCTACCTCAAGTTTTATGTTATAGGCTGATTTCTCATTCTAAAAAGAATGAGGCTTATGGCAAGAATTTTGTAATCAAACACTCTAATCTTATTCATTTTTAACCATTCTTGCTTAGGAAGAGCAAGAATTAAAAGAATGAGGCCCAGAGCTGCGAACCAAACATGGCCTTAAATAATTTTTCTATTGAATTTTAGTTTACAAATTTTGTAGATTGATCAAAATTTCTTGACCATAGGGGCCATACATGTTAATCTTCTAGTTAATTTCTATTATTAGGTAAAATTTCTCTCTTTTTCTTTTTTGTCCTTTCTTTTAGACAACAATTAGTGGTGCCTCTATTAAGTGGATTTTATATTTGAGAAAATTCATAATCACCATTAGGGGTGGCAACCAGTCGAGCTTTTCACGAGCTGCTCGAGCTCAGCTCGCAAAAAGTTTGGCCCGACTCGGTTTTAACCGAGCTCGAGTCCAATTCATTGGCTCGACTATAAAACAAGCCGAGCTCGAGCCTTGTAGAATTATTATAATTATGGAAAATAATTATTTAATATATATAATAAAATCATAAAAAATAATATATATAATAAAAATATTATAATTATTATAATTCTTATTTTTTTTAAATATCAAATAAAAAATAATTTTTTATTTTTATAAAATATTTTTTTTTCTCAAAATCGAGCTCGATCTTATGAATTTTTTACTTGAGCCGAGCTCGAGCCTTGTAGAATAGTCTTGAGCCGAGCTTGAGCCTCATACTATTTGGCTCGGCTCAACTCGAATCCACCCTAATCACCATGCTTTTATGGTGAAAGTAAACTTGAAGCCTTCATTGGATAACCAACATGTCTCTCTTTATCTCATTTGCTTAGTTGGGTTATTGATACTTTCTCATTCACTTAGTTACTTTATTGATACTATCATTGTATATTCTTATTCTATGAAAGAGTTGTTCATTTTATTGCAATATTTTGT